AAGAAGGCAGTTTGGACCTCTTAGAACCAAAATGCTGCGTGGCTCTTGAAGGTGAACGTTGCTCGATGATGTTATTATCCTGATGAGTGCATTACACCTCATCTTCTTATTCTACGTGAACATCAAGAATCTCATGTGTTATAGGCAGCTGTGCAACTAAAGGTAAAAATAAGATACCAACACCTTCAGAGACTGGGAGAAACATCACAAAGATGAACCACTGTGAGCTATAGTACGAAACATTTTCGGTCCATACGTAGTAACAAAAATAGCTGATAATTTCAAAATTTTTGTCCTAGCTCATTCTATAATTAGCAATGAAGTTCAAGCTGAACATCAGACATGTTCTAGGTCCATGATTCAACAAAAGAGAAAAGACAGCATGCATGAGTATCTTCATTAACTCTGTAAAAATTCTAGAGGACAAAAGATTTGAAACTTCTTCTGCCTTGCCATGCATCAGCCATCCCTCTTGTGGGGGATTTTGAGCTCTTCCTTATCCAGAGGTATTATTTAACATTATTTTTTCCAAAATAAATCTTGTCCCTTCTGATGAGATGATGAACTATTAACTAAGTGTGGTAGTCTGAGGACGTCAGGAATTGTCTTGGATAAAACGGTTATGTTAGGATAATAAAATAAACAGAATTACATATGAAAAGAATGATGCCATAGAGTATCATAGCATGTTGTAAAACTTACTTGGAAAAATGTTGTAATTAAAATCTATCTATATTTACCTAAGGGTATGCAGTGGTTTTAGGTCCTACTGCCAGAAGGAACAGTTTCATGAATAGGTTAAAATCAAACTTTGGCAGTTTGAATTTTCATTTTTAAAATGCTGTCCGTTTGCCAATTCTGAAGATACAAACAGACCTTTGAAGTGACTACTGTGTCATACTACTGAAGACTCCATACATGTTACCAAAAAAACAAACAAAAAACCTGTGTGCGGCAAAACATTCACCTGTAAGTACTTAAACAAAAAAGACGCAAATCAGTTTTCAAAGTAAATGTATTTTTCATAATCTCCGGGAAGGGGGTAGATACTGCATTACATTATTAGAGCACAACTACCATTGCCTGCACTCAAGAGTTTGCGGTGTATCAGAAATGTAGGGAGAGGCACAATTACGGCGCTGGCGGTATCACCTACGGAAAGGTGTCTTCCCCATCACTTAACCCGGAGCAGATCTCCAAACCCGCCCGCGCGCAGGGCGCCCGGAGGAGCCCCTTGCGCCGCGCCACCCCCGCGCGCTGCGGGGAGGGCGCCCCCTGGCGGTCTCGGGGGGGCCGCCCCGGCCATCGAGCCCTCCCCGGGTCAAACGCAGAAGTGGGAAAGAGAAACTTTGAGCTCAGCTGCTGGCACACAGTCCGCGATGCAGATCGAGCCGCCCGAGGAAAACGCCAGGCGAGAGGTTCACCTATGCCATCCCTTCCCGACGGGTGCTTGCTCCCCCGCTCTCATGTCCGCTTCTGTAACGTTAATGGCTAATAAAAACAGCATCGACCTTTTTCTGTTTGAGACACTATAGAACAGAAAGCACCGTCTCATTTACATACCGGCCTTTGGCTGTCTATTGCACCTATAAATTACGCATTATTTATACGCACGAGTAATGATACAGCACGTGTATTTCATATAAGTATTACTGTATTATTTATTTAAAGCAATAAACAGGATGATGTTTGCAGATAAATATTATGTTCCTAGCCCAGAGTTTAGAATCTGATTGACAAAGAGCAGTCTGACTTGCAAGTATTACTTTACATGACAAAAAAAGTTTTACTAATAAATTATCACCTATCTGTCCTGCCTGCGCTGGCATCTAAGGCTATTTTAATTAACATGAATATTTTAAGTAAAGGTGAACATATATTTAGAATCTCGGTCTGGACAAACGCTGTACCAGATGCAAGATTTAAGCACAAAGCACCACCTTCCAAACAGGCATAACGTTATTTTTAAAAGCCTGGTTGCAAGATCTTCACAACTAATACTTCGATGACATTAGTCTCTTGATACGTTTACCTTCGTTCCTGGAGTCCCTTATTCTGCAATAAAAACATGCCCCTCTAACCAATCACCTCAGACCAAGTTAGACACAAAGAAAAAATATTCAGCAAACCAAATATAACCTCAGCTTGCCTTCCCTTGAGTTACCACTGACAGAGAAAACCCCAGGTCCTAAAAGATCGGCCACTAACAGTGGCAGAGCTTACCTCTTCAACTGTCAAAGGCATGCAGATCCGGTACTCCTTCATGAGCATATACCTGCTGCCTCGGTGCGGACCAGCAAACTGGGAGAAAAGTGGTTATTTCTGCACGATGGTCGCGGCAAAAACTAGTCACCGGAAAAAATAATCGAGCCTCTTTTTCTGTACGCGCTTGACAATGCGTCCACAAGAGAGTAATGCAAGCATCCAGGAAGGCTGACCCAGCAAGAAGAGAACCACCAACACAACTGCTCCTTTCTTCCAGTTCTTCCTCCCTCAGCCCGCGATCATGTGAATTTCGCACACACACACGCACAGACAGATACAAAGAAGTCTCAAGCACCGAACGACAGCGTTGCAGTCAAAGACCTCCGTCGGAAGTGTACTGAAACGGCAGCCTCTCGCAGCTCTGTCAAGACATGCCTAGGGCGAGGAAAAGCACAAATCAGCCGAAAAGGGGAATTTCAGCAGCAGCACATCGCGGCAGCACAGAGGATGGGATGCTTATTTCCGAGACAAAGGCTTTACCCCGTCCCCTCGGCG